TTTCTCTATATTTTTACTACTTATATGCTAAATGTGTTTTCTGCACTCTTTCGTGTTTTAAAAATGTGATGCAAATGTTTTTAAGTTAAATTCTTATAAAATTTACATACGATAAAATTGGCCTTTTTTTGGGTATACAGTCCTATAGATTTTTTATGGTTTTTGTTTGCTTGGGTTTTTCTTGAGGTGGAGTCTTGCTCTGTTGCCCAGGCTGGAGTGCAGTGGCATGATCCCAGCTCACTACAACCTAGGCCTCCTGGGTTCAAGCGATTCTCCTGCCTCAGCCTCCCGAGTAGCTGGGATTACAGAAGTGTGCCACCACAACGGCTAATTTTTGTATTTTAATAGAGACAGGGTTTTGCCATGTTGGCCAGGCTGATCTCGAACTCCTGATCTCAGATGATCTACCTGCCTCGGACTCCCAAAGTGCTGGGATTACAGGCATGAGCCACATGTCCTGTGAGTTTTAACGTTTGTATAAACTCATGTAACCACCACCACAATCAAGGTACAGAATGGTTCCATCATGCTCAAAAATTCCCTCATGCCACGTCTTGCCCAGTCGAATCCCTAGCAACCACTGTTATGTTCTCTGACCCTACAGTATTGCCTTTTCCAGAATGTCAAATAAGTGGTTTTGTTCACTGAGCATCATGTCTTTGAGATGCTGAGTGGTAGCATGCATCAGTTGCTCAGCCCTTTTTATTGCTGTTGTAGTGTTCTGTTGTGTGGTTGTACCACCATGTGTTTATCCATTTACCCTTTGAGGAACATTTAGGTTGTTTCCAGTTTTTGGTGATTATGAAGAGAGTTGCCGTAAACATTTGTGTACATGTTTTTGTTTGAACATAAGTTATCATTTCTTTAGATAAATCCCTAGAAATGAGATTGCTAGGTTGTATTCTAAATATATGTTTAACTTTATAAGAAATTGCCAAACTGTTTGTCAGAATGGTAGTATTTTGCATGCCTCCTAGCAGTGTCTCAACTTTTAAAAGCTTGAATGCTATTTTAGATGCTCTTGGGTTGGGGTTGGCGAACTGTGTTTCACAGTGCCTTGGAGCTTTGAGAAGATGCCCCATGACAGAGGGAGGACCTCTAGGTCCTCCACACCAGCTTCAAAGAGAATTGTCCCAGTTTTGTTTGTTGTATATATTGGAGTTGCATGTAAGGATACCTTTGGGGAGAAAAGAACTTTATCTGCAAAGTGTTTAAAAACCATTGCAATAGGGAAGTGCACCCACAGTGTGCGATGTGGACCACAGGTGATAGAGGGTGATGCAAGGTGGCACTTGGGGACTCTGCACATGAGGACCACACTGAGGCAGTGATTCTCTCTTCAGCTCCGTCTGTTTATGTGATTATGTCAAGGAAGTTTTCATTTAAATCTGCTGCATCATTGTTCTCCACCACTTGTTAATATCTTCCTTTACAAAGAGGGAGCATGCTTTAGTCTCAGAGCCTTCAACAAGCAACAATTCCTGTCTAGAGTGAAATAAATATATAGTTTTCTTTATAATATATTTACTTTTATGATTATCTTCTCATTTATAAGTACCATTGGTTTTTCCATTTTTCTTTTGAAGTGAATTTATATTTTTTAAAAATGAGCCAATTTTCATTGTATTTTTTTCTTTTTTTACTTTTATCTAGAAATTACTATGAAAAATGAGTCAATTTAAAGAAAAATATTAAATACTGTATTATATAGTTCATATACAAATATGGCAAGAATTATGAAGATGTGCTAGAATAACTGAAGTTTAGGAAACTCTTGAGCTAGAGGATCTGGTTATTTAAAGAAACCTTAGAGTGAATCCTTTTGTAAAGTGATAAAGCACATAACTATTTCTTAGTTTATCCATTTTATGAGTTTATCATTTATGTAATAGTAATTTCTTAAAAGAAGAGAGCCTTCATTGTTCTTTGTTTTTGTAATACTTATTTTTCAAGTCCCTTCTTTATTCACTGATTTGACAAATATTTTGTGGGCAATGGGGATACATTATTGACTAAACAGGCAACATCCCCTTTCTTTGTGAAACTTTCTTTCTTACATCCTTGTTCCTTCCCCTCTTAGAGACGGTTCAGGGCCTGTGGAAAACAAGGGCCCCTGGATAAAATGTAAGTGATATGAAAGGCAAGGAAGAGGTAAATGACTTTAAAAAATAAACATTTTAATAGATTTACAGAGGGAAATAATTTTGTTTTGATCATGTTTTTGGAGCTAGCTGGATGTCTACTTTGTCTTTCGTTGGATGCATTTTTGCATTTTGGTAAGATGATATGTACCCACAGACATAACGATAAACTATGTGACCTTTTTTTTTTTTTTTTTTGAGACAGAGGTTCGCTTTTATTGCCCAGGCTGCAGTGAGATGGTGCGATCTTAGCTCACTGCAAACTCCGCCTCCTGGGTTCAAGCGATTCTCCTGCCTCAGCCTCCTGAGTAGCTGGGATTACAAATGCCTGCCACCACAACCAGCTAATTTTTTATGTTTTTAGTAGAGACGGGGTTTCGCCATGTTGGCCAGGCTCGTCTTGAATTACTAACCTCAGGTGATCCACTCGCCTCAGCCTCCCAAAGTGCTGGGATTACAGGTGTGAGCCACTACGCCTGGCTTATAAACTGCATGACTTTTTGAGGTTCCTTTCAACTTTAAGTACGTGAAGTAGGGTGTCACAGACAAGGAGTAGTACTGTTGTTAGAATACCTGCTAATGCTCAGACCTCTCTGAAATCAGACATCTCTTAGATTAGAGATCACAGATTGGTAGCTGCCTAAGTTCTATTCAGCCCATTGGTGTTTCTCGTTTGACCCACATGGTATTTTTTGTTTAATTTTAATGAGTTTACAAGATTTACAAAAATTGGTTTTCACATTAAATACACACACACACACACACACACACACACACACACCCCATACACCAGATTTCTTGTTTATTTTGAAAATTCATGAATCTGGCATCAGTGAGCCAGCTTTTCTGAGTGGCAGAGCTGGCTGGATTTGAATAGTGGCTGCCTTTTTAAGGCAGAACATGTGCTCTCTTTTAGTAACCTCTGCTTAACTCATTCATGGTTATGTGCCTGGCCTAGTGAGTATTTGAATTTGCAACCTCCGGATCTTGGGTTTCATGCCCTGGAATTACCTAGAGAAGCTGAACGTTCCTCCTTGTGCTGGAGGGCTGAAAATATTGTTACCACAGAAGCTGCTTGACTGTCCAACTGGGCACATCTTCCAGCACAGTAGATGAAATACTGGGCCTAGGAGGCAGGATCAGGGTCCTCTTCCTGGCTAGTGTCAGGTAGATTATCCAGGCTTCTTCACAATGGAGGTACTATTTTCTGACTTACCTGTTTGCATCCGTTAACATTTTTGATAAGCAACAGAAACAGGTTCTGATGAATTTTTTTTTTTTTTTTTTTTTGAGATGGAGCCTCACTCTGTCACCCAGGCTATATAGTACAGTGGTGTGATCTCAGCTCACTGCAAGCTCCACCTCCCGAGTTTCAAGCTATTCTCCTGCCTTAGCCTACTGAGTAGCTGTTATTATATGTGCGTGCCACCACGCCTGGCAAATTTTTGTATTTTTAGTAGAGATGGGGTTTCGCCATGTTAGGAAGGCTGGTTTCGAACTCCTGACCTCAAGCAATCTGCCCACCTCAGCCTCCCAAAGTGCTGGGATTACAGGCATGAGCCACCGTGCCCAGCCCTGGTGAATTTAAACAAAATGGGACTTTATTGAAAGGATATTGGGTGACTGACACTATAAAAGGAACAGCGAACGATCTGGACTCAGAAAGTTCCAGAAACTAGAGATACTCTGAGGACCATGGGTGGGAGGAATTAAGGGAATTGATAAATTGCCTCAGCATTTTCCCCCATTTCTATATCATTCCTCTCAAGAGTCTAAAGTCCTGGAAAAGGATCAGGTTGGTCTGGCCCACATCCTTCAATAGGGGAGGATAGGACACCTTGGTTGACAGTCCCTCTAAGACTTTATACCATGAAAGAAAAGACTTTGTAAGAGGAGATTTAGGTGATGTTGCCAGACAAAGGGGATGAGGTATGGATTTAGGCAATAGAAACAACAAATGTTCACTACTCCTCAGGGTTGTCATGATGATATTAAATATGCACTATCAAATGCTATAAAAGAGTACGAAGTAGTGTTTCCAGTTACAGGAGAACCAGGTTATGAGTGTGCTCTTTAAGTAAACAAACATATTGGCATCTGTTAGATAAGGAATATATTGAATGACTTAGAACACAGACAGTTTCATTGACATTGTAGTGACAATTTCATTCCTTTTACCAATTGCTTTGGTTATAAAATCTCCAAAGAAGCCACACTAACTTTAAATTAAAAAACAACATCTATAAAATCTAAAGATGTTCTTTGAGATATTCATTCAAAGAAATGGTCTTTCTGATTTTTGTGTTCCCTTTTTTGGGCAAGATCTTGATTTGCAACAAGCAAGGAAAATGAGTGAATCTTCTCCCTTCTTTCCCCGCCAAGCATTGCTGGCATGGGTAGACATTTAAAGTAATGATTCAAATAAGAGAGGCAGAGAAAGCCTCAGCTGGGTGGCAGGAAACAGAGAGTGAAAGTCAGAGGCTGCTCTTTTTTAAAAAGGCAAAACAAACAACTCACAGTGAAGTGAACGTGAAAATCATTTCTAATAATAGCTCATGGTAGGCAATTCCCAGGGAAAAAAAAAAATCATTGGTGTGCTGAGAAAATTAGAGTAAGAATGTGCAGTATCTTGATGTGTTACTTAAGGCAATGGAGCTTTAGAGTTTACCTTATGTGCCATGTACATTGATTAAATACAAAATATATGCTGGCCATTTTTGGCCATCATTTACTGTATTGATTTGTTAGCAGGGGAACTGTAATAAAAAAGCCATTGATTTACTGTCCTTATTTGCTTATGGGCTTTTTTTTATTATTAATTTTTCACTTTTTCTTTCTGTTTTGGATCATTTCTTGTAGACAAATGCTGTGCTTCGTGAAGTTAAAAGAGAGGGGCTCCCCGTGGAACAAAGGAATGAAATCTTGACTGCCATCCTTGCCTCGCTCACTGCACGCCAGAACCTGAGGAGAGAATGGCATGCCAGGTTAGTTCTGTTATGAAACGGGATTTGTTGTTCTTGACAAACAAGAACTATATTTGGCCAAGCCCTCCCTTACGGCTGGCCTCGTCCCTTTCCTTTGAGGGGCCATGAAAGATAAGCACATTTAAGATGCTTTCAGCTAAAGTTAGCTTTCCTATCCACGGCATCTACATGAATTGTAATGATCCATTGACATCATCAGTATATTTACACAATTTATTCCTGAATATAACATTTAGCGTAAATGTTTGCATTTTGAGCATAATGTAATATAAGCACCTGATGCCGAAGAACCCTTTTTAATCAACAGTCTAAAAGACTAACATTGCTATTTCATTAGAGCAGCTGTCTGGGAAATCCATATAGTGCTCCTATATCACTCTGTGCAAGGCAGATTACTTGAAAGTATCGTCATGCATCGCTTAATGATGGGGATAGGTTCTGAGAAACGTGTTCTTAGGTGATTTCGCCATTGTATGAACATCATAGAGTGCACTTACGCAAACCTTGATGATATAGCCTACTATACACCTAGGCTATATGGTATAGTCTGTTGCTCCAGGGCTGCAAACCTGTACAACATGTTGCTGTACTGAATATTATAAGCAATTGTAACACAATGGTAAGTATTAGTGTATCTAAGCATAGCTAAATATTGAAAAGGTACTACAAAAATATGCTGTTATAATCTTATGGAACGGAACCACTGACATGTAAAGTTCGCCGTTGACCAAAACCTCAAAATGTTGTTATGTGGCAATGACTGTAGCCTATTTATCAACCCGATTTTTAGGGTTAACCAACTAGAAGTGACTCTTGTTTCAACCTGGTCTCTTTCCATGGAGTTACCTGTGCTTAGAAACTGTGTTACTGGTGAAGACTTTCTTTAAATCATCAGTTTTTACAGAACTGATGCTTGCGTAGTAAATATCATGTTATCCTGTTCTTTTTTGAAAAACAGTTGATATGTGGGAGGCTAGAACTAGTTCTCCCGAATGTTAAGATTATCTTTCAGATCTGCAGTTTGTAAAAATTATTGAATTGTCATCTGTCTCTAAGCCAGAGGGAGAGGAATCAGGAAGGGTATGGCATATTTTGTCTCAGAGTCTTATTTGGTGCTCAAAAATTCTATGTGCCTGGAAGTCAAGAACATTTATTGATAGACATAATATTCTCCAAATGACTTCATGCAACAGAATTTATAATAATTGATAGCTTTACTAGTAATAATTATCATAAAATAGGTTTGTCTGAACAAGGCTAAAGATGAGCATTTTCCAAGAAAGGAGATAATATAAGTATTTATTCTCATTGGATATCAGAAAGCTGCTTTTTCAAATATGTACTATTTTTAAATTCAGACTTGTATTTAAATAGTAATTTAAAAATTCCCAATGATACTCACCCTCCCCTTCCCCCATCTTTTTGGTGGTGTGGTCAGTGTAAATGGCAGACAGTTTCTTTTTTTTCTTTCTAAAAAAAAAATGTTTATAAAAATAGACACAGAGTCTTGTCATGTTGCCCAGGCTGGTCTTAAACTCCTTGTCTCAAGCGATCCTCTTGCCTTGGCCTCCCAAAGTACTCAGATTACAGGTGCAAGCCACCACACCTGGCCAGTGGCAGACGGTTTCAACTAAAGTAATGACTAAATGATTTCTAATTTACCTTTCAATAATTAATTCTAAAATTTTCTTTGTATTATAAGTTAAGCATGTATATTCATTAAAGTATACATATTAAGGCATGGAATATCAGTTTGTGGACATCTAAGGGGTTTCTTTGTCTCTGTTTGATGTTTTATGTCATCCTCATGATGATTCCAATTAAATAGAAAGGGAAGAAGAAAGAATTTCCCTGTAATCTTTCCTCCGGTTCCCTTCCATCCAAAGACCGTGTGGTCCAGTGAGAGCGCAAATGGATGTTTTTTGTTGAGTGCATTTGGTTTGTTAACAATAATTTTTTAATACACTAAATCATTAGACAACATGGTCAAAGTGGCCTGTTTAAGAGGAATCTGCTTTCAGCATTTCTGGCCCTTACTGTTAACAATTTAATCAGGAGCTGGAGCCAGTGTTGAAGTTGATGTAGTCTAGCAACTGAAACAAAAATTCTCAAGTCCTTTGTGTTAAGGGAGGAGGAAAGAAAGAGTTTAACAGCTGACACTGTGCAGACCCCCTTAAAACTAAACACCTGAAAGAAAATTTCAAGAGGCTAGTGTCTTGAGATCTCAGAAGGAGAAGTGTCCTCAGAGTATTAAATAACTATAATCCTTCTCCCCACCGCTTCTCCACCCTCATTTGATGTTTCCCATCTTAGTGACCTATCTACAGACTCATCCATGCGATCCGTATAAACAGACGGTTATCATACACCTTTCTTTTCCTCATCAAAGTGTCATCTGGCTGTCTGGAATTGGGCATTGCCTCGAGTAGCCGTCAAACGGATGGTGGTGAAAGTTATAAAACATCCACTGCAGTGCTTACTGAGCAGCCTGTGTTTTAGAGATTGGCCTATTGTGTACTTCGGAATTACACAAGGAAAAATGTGCTTTGACAGAAAATAATTAGCACTCACCAAAGGCCAAGCAATAGGTTACAGTATTTTACTTTCATCAAAGCTATCAGGGGATCAGTTAGATTAGATAATAGAAATTTTTTTCCTCTGAAAGTTAAATACAGATGACTCTAATTACCTTATATTGCACATTAGAGAGTGCATTATGAATTGTACAACTTCAAGAAATTTAGGTCAATGGAGCCGCTGCAGCTGGCAATAACTTTAGTATAAGTCTTTTGTAATAAAGGTTTTTACCTCTCTTTAGCAGGTTCATTTGCGATCATATTAGGGAGAATTTTTAAAGTAAAACTTGTAACCTAGTTATAAAATATTTGTCTGTCTCTCAGGTCGGGCGCCAAGCCATTGTTTGGGACTCACTGAAGTCTCTTAAACTGAAGCATATGTTCCTTGTAATTTAGCTTCTTGAGGAAAGTGTCAATTTTGCATGACTTGGGGTAACCGAGTTTGTCACAGTGTCACACAACCCAGCGACTCTAGAGGCACATCTGAGTGCTGCGGGTTTCCTTCTCCAAGCTTCGTAATCCCATAAACAACCCTCTCCAAATAGGCTTATTAGGGCTGTCTATTCACTTCCCTAGAGTTGAATGATCCAAAGGACATCGGGAGAAGCTGTGTGAATGCAGGGTAAGTGTTAACAGAAGTGGGACAGAATTTCTGAAGATTCGCCTTTGTTTATCCAGTCCCCTCTGCCTGATGGACAGCTTGTTATAGCTTTTAAAGAACTGGGCGAGCCCTCTGATCTGACCCCTTCTTGACCTGCGTAGCCCAAAGGTCAGTCTGCAGCTAATAAACTCTGAGGTTCTTAGGGTCTACTGTAGGAGAAGGCAGAAAAAGAGCAGCTGCAAGGACCGGGTGTCCCAGGATAGGCTACTTTAGGGTCACTCTCTGATAATGAAAATGATTACCAAATTATATGGAAGTTTAACCGCAATCGTGAGTGAGAGGAGGGTGGGGCCCGGCGTATTAGGTTTGATAAATGAACTGTGAAGAGGCCCATCTGGCTCTCAACATCTTTTCTCCCCCTCTTTCCTACCAAGGGGAAACATTTTAAAATAACAGCAGTACATATAGACTCAATGACCCATACAAGGAGCTGGAATGGATTAAGATTTAATGGTGACAGTGGAAGAAATTATCATTTGAAAAGTGCTCCAAAGAAAAGGTGCAGTTCAGTGTCCACACCCGAGTTGTCTTTCTAAATAAAATATAATAAAAATCACTGCCTTGTTTATTTTCTACAAAGCCCTGGCGTCTTTCCTAGATGGCTGAAAATTTTGAGGGTATTGTTTATTATGGAATAATTATTTATAGTTTAGCTTCAGAAACGGAATGGGCTTCCTTTGCCTTGAAGAAGTCAGAATGGGAATCAAAGATTTTGTTCTGCCTGTTTGCTTCATTTCAGTAATGTAGGTAAATCAAGTGTTAGAGAAAGTGCTTTTCCAAAAAATGTGTGTCCATGTCAGCATCTGACCACTGACTATTGTGCACTCTTTAGTACGAATTATATGTGTGACTCTTGAACAGAGTCTTATTCCTACTACAACCTGGCAGTTTTTCTGTAAATATAAGAAGAAAGCACATAATGTTAACTGAGTAGTTATGTTTGGTTCTTTCTTTATTCCTTTTTTCAAAGAAACATCATAGCGATGCTAATTATTGCCAACAATGGATGAGGTCACTATACACTATTCGTCTTTTTATTTACCACTAATTGATAAGATTAGTCTATTTAAAGCTCTCCCCCAGTTTCTCATGAACATAGAGTCCTGATTTCAGACCAGTGATGATGGAGGCCATGCAGCTCTGTCCTTTTCTGCAGAGATGAGTGGCACATGCCATGAGTCCGCTCTCTGAAATGAGAATGATTTCATTCAGTAAGCATCTTTTCGTATATTTTGTATACCTACTGCATGAGATGCTGTGCATAATAGAGAGTGAGGTAAGTGGCCAATTTCAGGGTTTATCTGGGGATGAGAAGTAGAAGTTTCCTAGAAAGAGGCTGTGAGAGGCAGTGGCAAGGAAAGCAGTGGAACCATCATTACCACAACAGAGTGGCAAGTTCTCTGACCCACTCGGGAAAGTATTTAATGGTAGATGTCTTGGAAGACTAGAATTGTTGTGTTATTGAAAACCCTTTATATTGAACTATATTGTCTTGTAACACAAGCCTTACCCAGACAATAATTATGTTAAAAAATCAAAACAGAAGGCTTGTAAACATTATCCAAAGTTAGCATATTTTTCATCAAGATTTTGGCTTGGCTGTCTTACGTCTGTGGGGATTTTGAGTGAGCAGAAAGCCAGGTAGAGGATAATTCAGGGAGGAGGCAAATACTTGAGAATCAATTATGCTTTTTAACTTTAAAGCCATGGCCCTAAATTTTTGCTAAGTGAGGTATAAATACAAAAAAAAAAAAAAAAAAAGA